AATAAATAATTAAAAAAATCAAAAAATAAAAGAATATTTATTTATTTAAGTATTTTTGTAAATTTTAATTAGATAAAACAATATAGGCCCAGATGGGGCGAAAGCAGTAGCTTCCGAAATAGCTAAATGTCCTACTCTCTCCACTTTAAGCCTCTACCTCTAGTAATTTTTTACACATTTTCTCAATTTATAGTTTAAATAAATAATTAAAAAAATCAAAAAATAAAAGAATATTTATTTAAGTATTTTTGTAAATTTTAATTAGTGATAACAATATAGGCCCAGATGGGGCGAAAGCAGTAGCTTCCGAAATAGCTAAATGTCCTACTCTCTCCACTTTAAGCCTCTACCTCTAGTAATTTTTTACACATTTTCTCAATTTATAGTTTAAATAAATAATTAAAAAAATCAAAAAATAAAAGAATATTTATTTATTTAAGTATTTTTGTAAATTTTAATTAGTGATAACAATATAGGCCCAGATGGGGCGAAAGCAGTAGCTTCCGAAATAGCTAAATGTCCTACTCTCTCCACTTTAAGCCTCTACCTCTAGTAATTTTTTACACATTTTCTCAATTTATAGTTTAAATAAATAATTAAAAAAATCAAAAAATAAAAGAATATTTATTTAAGTATTTTTGTAAATTTTAATTAGTGATAACAATATAGGCCCAGATGGGGCGAAAGCAGTAGCTTCCGAAATAGCTAAATGTCCTACTCTCTCCACTTTAAGCCTTGGTCTTGAGTAATTTTTTACACATTTTCTCAATTTATAGTTTAAATAAATAATTAAAAAAATAAAAAAATAAAAGAATATTTATTTAAGTATTTTTGTAAATTTTAATTAGTGATAACAATATAGGCCCAGATGGGGCGAAAGCAGTAGCTTCCGAAATAGCTAAATGTCCTACTCTCTCCACTTTAAGCCTTGGTCTTGAGTAATTTTTTACACATTTTCTCAATTTATAGTTTAAATAAATAATTAAAAAAATCAAAAAATAAAAGAATATTTATTTATTTAAGTATTTTTGTAAATTTTAATTAGATAAAACAATATAGGCCCAGATGGGGCGAAAGCAGTAGCTTCCGAAATAGCTAAATGTCCTACTCTCTCCACTTTAAGCCTTGGTCTATAGTAATTTTTTACACATTTTCTCAATTTATAGTTTAAATAAATAATTAAAAAAATCAAA